TTAGTTGTAACAAATATTTTTTTTTTCGTGAAAAAATTAAAAATATAACGTAACTTTCGAAAAATGTAAAAACGCAGTTGCCATGTTGATTAAATTCAACTCTCTTTTCATATAATTATGCACGGTGTTGAGTTAAGGAAACATTCGAGGAAATACAAAAATAAATCGTAAGAGAAACTGCTTTTGCGAAAAATAAAGTTCAGTCTGGAACGCTTTAAACTTTACATGGCACTTCTCGCTTTCGAATGCACTTCTCGAATGCAACTTTTCTAACAGAAAAAAAAATAAAAAGTACTAGTAACTTCGTTAAAGTGCAAGTTGACTAAACTTAACAACCATTGGTTGGCATTGGAGTGGCAAGCCGCTTACCGACGAGTATAACTCTTTTTTTAGGTACGCGACGTTGAAGCAATTTGTAAGGTACGAAAGGAAAAGAAAACCGATTTCTAAAGTGTAAAAACAAAACAATGAAAATTAAGGTAGGAAAAAACAAAAAAGTTTCACCGTTCTGTGTACTATTAACGGAATGAAATTTAAATAGGCGAATGCATTCCGTTCCGGCCACTATATATGTGGCCTCTTTTTAATTCAGCCCCAAAGAATTCGTTAATTAATTATGTAATAACGGAACAGCATTTCTGGAACTATTTTTCAGTTTCGTATAATTGAAATGAGACTTGATTAAATCAAACAGAGAAAGAGAAATGGTAAATGCGTATAGAATGCATAAAATATCGCGGGCACACACGCGGCGGAGGTTAAATTTGCCCGTAAACGGAAGAAGGAATTATTACGGCAAAGAAAAATTCGGAAATGAAAAACAAAAGTACAGCAGATACCAGGGCGGTGACCGACGCGAAACGAGAGAGGAAAAAAAAAAAAGGATAGCTCAGGCTACTACCGGGTCGTAACTTTTTCGCCAGGATTATAAAATTAACGTCGAGCATCGTCCTATTCCATCGTCCAGCCGTATCCCGCCATCGTGTCCCGCGCAGCCCCCGTGCAAGCCTCCCCGGAGGGCCGCAATAATCGTGAACGTCAAATTTAACGTTTGCGCTGCCCGATGCAATCCATTAGATATTGCTCGTAAAGAGGCCTCGTATCTCGGCTGCGCATGCGAGCGTATACACGTCCGTCGGAGCGCAAACGGTCTTTTTTTCGGACGGCCACTTTTAAAAGCACCCCCGCTTTCCAACGGCCTTCCTCACCCCCCCCCCTCTCCCCCGTCGCCGATACGTTCCCGCGGTCCAGTCGCCCGTCAGTCCGGGTGCCCTCGCACCCTGTGGCAATCAACGATCGCGACAGCTACGTAAAAATTTCCCGGCGGCTCTCGAGGATCGCCCGAGCAATTTATACGCGACGCGCTGCCGGGGCGGTAAAGCGACGCGAGATCATACCGCGATGCAACTAAAAATTTCGCCGTCAGCCGTATTTTTCATAATGACGCTTCCGACTGATTCGCGAGAGATCGACGTCGGAAGCAAGATTTTATCGTATTCGTGACGGGGGTGGCGTGACGTCAATGCACGATGCCTTGTTATTCATTCTCGTTATTCGTTATGCCGACGCGGAAATTCGCCGCAGCGAGTCAAATCGCTACGCTCGCATGTATGACATTTTGAAATATCGCTTTTGACATTTTGCGTCTCTCTCTCGTGCACTCCCCCGGCACGCGCACGCTGTAGCATTTTGTGCGCAACTGCAACTCCAATAAGCCCGAATTGAACACCACCGCTCTCGTATACATATCCAATGGCATTGGCGCGGCTATTCAATCTACTCGTTAAACGAGTAATTGAAAGTATTTCTTTTTCATAGGGAATCCTTCTATCAAGATTTCTCTTTCACATTATTGCATATTCCACGTTTGATTTTGTCAAGTTTTTCGATTGGTACGATCCATGGCATTTGAGATTCATCTGAAGCCTATATCGTTATCTCGATCCCAATTCCACCCCCCCCCTCGACTCGTTTGTCCATAAAGCCCGCGCGAAGTTCTCGTCGAAAATCGCTCGTTCGAAGTCGTTACCGAATATATAGACGGCGCGGTCGTTCGACGCTGGCATCGCGCTCGATATCTTAACGATACATCAGCCCCGATATCGTGATCCGTCCAGTGTGCAATCCACACGGATGCGTACAGCGCAAACAGCCGTCGCGGCTGCAAGCCGTGGTCAAACATGGGCTACGATAATACGAATACTAAACACTGGGTACATCGTTGCATTATTGCTCGTACTTACATTGCTTATGGTGGTGCGTATCCCAGAGAGACAATAGAGGGGCGGCGATTCCATTCACCCTTATTCGCCCCTCGAGGGTCGATAAATAATATAAAATACTTACAATATAAAATAAACTTACAATAAAAATGTTCATTTATGGGAAATAATATATACTTCACTTTAATTTTTTTTTTTTTTATTAATTTTATTGTACAATCAAAATAAAATTTCACCCAAAGTTCTTCTTCAATTTGGTAATTTGATTTTTCCACACAGATATATTCTGCGTATCTCAATGCCAATTACCAATCACAGAAATGATATAACACGATGTTATATAGAACGAGTAATACTTTAATGAGAGAAACACAATACGCTGAGTTCACGCAACGGAAAAATGCGAAATCGTAAAAGAAACGTCGAGAAGGGTAATGTTCTCCACCATTTCGTTCTGCGTATTACTTAATCCAACCGAGCTATGCATGCGCACACATGCGTGTTTACGTACACACAGGCTATTTGCATTTACGAGCAGCAGACACTTTTTCATAGCCGCCGGTATTACGTTTAATTTGTAATAAACCAGATTAAATCCACACTTTTAATTCTTTATCTCTGACGGATCAGACGAACCGTTGGATTATTCATGAAAAAAAATGCACTGTTTCCTGACACTAATGTTTGCGGCTTGCAAAGCAAGCACTTTTTACTTGCGAACAACGTTTATCGGTGTCTCAGTCTCTGGCTCGAAAAGCAAGAGAAAATCTCGCGTTACGACGCACGAAACGCAAAACCGGAAGCCAACGAACGTTTGAATCGCCGGTTCGTAACTACGCCAGAGAAAACGGAGAAGCCGCGATACGCCATTTCGAACCTAACCCCGATGGATTCCTCCGCTATCATTTTCGCGCAGATGGAAAATGCAGAAAATTTCCACGAGGCATTTAAGAGAGATATAATTTTAGTAGAAATTGCTCCGAGAGAAACACTCGGCGAATTAATAATAAAGATGAATAATATCGTTCCGGGAATATGGGGTAGTGCGCGTCGAGTTTCAGAATTTTGCATGAAAAATCGAGATAGGGAGGAATTTTATCTCATTAGCAGAGAAAGTATATTCGAGCTAAAACATTTGCGCCGAGAAGTAAACTTATTTTTAAAGGGAAGATAAAACACATTAAGAGTCAATTATATCATTCTTCGTGATTTTCGTGAAAAATGATTATCGTGATTCGATATAACGAGTATACGAGCGTAAAACGCGCGACCAACTTGCTTCATAAAAAGCGGCGCTTAATGTCAGTTTCATGCAATCGCGCGTCGCAGCAATCTTCATGGGGAGAAGATAAAGGTAAATATAGCGTTGCTTGTGGAAAACGCGTCCGATTAATAATTGGTATAATCTCATTATCGTCATCTCGATAAATGCCAAGTCCTTTATCATTCGTCAGTCGCGCAACGATAACGGCGCACTCTACTTTTCGTCGGCGTTTCCGCTCATCTTTCCTATGTAAAAGAGAAATTCTCACTCTCCCTCGAACAAAAAAGCGTTGAACCGGAAACGAGACCATGGATCCAATCGCAGACGCGGCTTTATTCGCGTAGCAGAGCTAAACAAGCTTGTGTAGATCAAATGGTATATTCAGGAGAGTATACGCGTTACATATCGAGAAGAGCGAACCATGCTCGGAATTGATCTTCAAAAGCCTAAGATAACAGAAAAGATACGAAGTGTAACAGAACCAAAAAAAAAAAAAAAAAAAAATTACCTCGTAGTTCAGCGCAGATCACGAATGCGCGCGGATCACAGATACTTTAATATCGAGGATCAAACGCTCTCGAGTGAATATCGAAACTGTCGAGTGGCCACGGCGGTAACCGTGGCTTTCGCCACGACTCCGACCACCAAATGATCGTGATAGATAGAGGTAAATGGTGGGTTTCACAACGTGGGTTTCACAGCGTGCAAAATACCGCGGACATCATGACCGCACCGGCTGGCAATACAGAGAGAGAGATCCCGGCCTAGGCTTGGATGTTATAACGCTGTTAACACCAGCGATCGCTTTCAATCCACGCAGTTCATCATCCCACATTGATTCCACCGCGACCGAGAACGACGGGGAATGGAAAGGACGCGATCAAACCGTTATGCGGGATCATCGATTCGAGGATGATATCGGTCACAATGCGGAGTAAAATGATATCTTTATTACGCTTTGTTAATATCGCACTTTAAAAAATACCGCGATCCTCGGGAAAAGATTCTCTTCGAAGGCAGGACATCATTTCCTTTGTTACCGTTATTCACCTCGCTATATACCATCGCATTGTGTGTCGTACGCGTCACACGTCATACGTCACGTCATGGCGGAAGCCATCGCGGCCCTAACGAGATCGTCAGCATGAGCTACAATGATAGTCATCATCATCATCATCGTCGTTCCGCACGTGGACCCGATCGCCTACTCAACTGTGTGCCGAGGGTCGGGCGTGGACGATGATGATTGCGCGAGGCTTGATTTATACTTTCATTCGGCTATACGACATGCAGGAAAGATGAAAACATTAATCCTGTTTATTTCGTTGGTTTCAAAGCCGCATCTAACGAACGTCCGATAGAGTTAAGTTTCGTAAATAATAGATCGTGAAAGTGATAGTCGCAATTCGACTGCTTTATACGACGAGCTACCGTTCGTTATCTCACATTGACGGTAGCACGAAGGAGAGAGAGAGAGAGAGAGAGAGAGAGAGAGAGAGAGAGAAAGAGAAGGAGCGGAGTAAAGGGTAAGAGAATGAGATAATAAGGGAGAAAAGAGAATGGGTAAGAGAGCCGGGAGCTAATGAGCGTTCGTGAATCATCGGTGCTGCAGCAGCGGGGTCATCGTATTGGGACACCGCGGTAATGATGATCATCGTCATCATCATCATCATCATCATCATCATCGTCTCTGCGGCCAACAACCACTCATTTGCTTTTCAGCGAGGGGCGATGTGGCGTAAAAGCCACGTGATTGCAGCCGTCCAATTCGTCGAACGCATGGTCGTAGTAAAACCACATTTTCGGCACCTTGCAGCGGCCACTCGAATCTCCATCCCTGTCCCGATAACGATTGAAAATGCTCTGAAATATTCAAATATGCTCAATACTCGCGATATTTTTGTGAGATATTTTATCAAAATAAGACAAACGTAACTTTCTCTAATGATGACGCGTAAGCGTTCATAAGAAGAAGAGAAATGATCTCGCTGAATTCTCGCAAAGTGCACCGCTACGTCCGTAATAATTTTGTTTACGATGCACAAAATTGCTCCATACGCCGAACAGTTTTCCGAAACAGCCCAGGGGACGAGAATCCCGTACGCGGGCTAAACGGATTATTGAAATTCGAGTTAATTCGTTTACGCGTTTAAATGCGACAGCGAGCAGGCGCGAGTCATGCGATCCGACGCGAGAGCGTCGGGCAAATCTTTTCCGGGCGTCGGCTTGCAAAAACAACCGGTATACGTCCACGGTAATGGCATTAGCGAGAATTTCAAAAAACACAGAGGAAAGAAAGAGAGTGGCCTACCTCGATAATACACCGTGAAAGTTCGCAAGGGTGAAATAACGGGTGCATTTCGAGAACGGCGCGTGGATGGTCGTTGGAAAACCTGGAAAAATTCAACGCGGAAAATTCTGTAAAATGCATGCGTCCACCCAACTGAAGAGTTAAAGGAAAATTTGATCAAGTTCGATAGCGTTCGCGCTATTCATTTTATACATAGTGTATTTTTTTTTTTTTTTTATGAACAATGTAACAACATAGCTTAATTCCATGAAATATCGCGTTTTTAAGTGTATCGCGTTCTCGATTGATGCGATCAGAATATTTTCATATATATTACTTGAGATAAAAAAATATTATCTTTATATGCGCGGGAATGCATTCTGCGAATAATGAAAAAAATTCGTTCAGCTTGCAATATTTATTTGCCTGTTTGCTCAAAAGAATCCAATTCAACTAAATAGCAAAAGTATATTAAATCTGCGTGTATTCTCGACGCAAAGTAAAGGATTAATAGGAATCCAGTGTAGAAACGGTCGATTCTACGTTCGTCGTTTCAGCTTTTAATTTCATAAAACGAAGTCGTGAACGTCGAAGCATTGGCGAAACGGCTAACGTGCGATTTCAAAGCGTTGACGAGCGCGTTGAAAAATCTGGAAAATCTCGAGGCCGAAAATTCCATTGGACAAAGGGAGGCGGGAGGGTTGCTAGCAATGATGCTCAACGCTGGACGGTTTATAGCCATTGTGCTTTCGCCCATGGCGCAATCAAAGCGAGAATCGAATGGCGGTCCGAGTGAGCGCAATTTCACAGGGCATGAAACACTGACTTCATTATCCGGTTGTTAATCCTACGCCATAGACTCCTCTCCTCTCGCTCGCTCCACCTCCCGCTGCGATGTTAAATTCGAAATCGACGAGCCACCCGCCGATGTAAAATTATAATTCGAGATATTTGATTGGTTAAAAATAATTCCCATAATTGATTATTTAAGTAAACTCAAGTCAGTAAATTAAAATCTAATTCGCATTTGTAACAAAATATTTAACATTCGTACACAAAATGAAGTTATTACATAACCAGCTATAATTTCTGACAGTATATATATATATATATTATTTCATAGAGATATAACATAATTTTTCATAAAGATGCATTAAAATGCATTAAAATTTGATGATGGACAAATTATTATAAAATATTTTCGTGTCGCTTTAGACTCAAAATCAGATATCAATTCAATATGACTCAACGTATCCCTCTGGCTATTATCCGTCCTCGATGACGTCGTCGTCTTTAGGTTGCTGACCTGCGACATGCGGAAAGACTGATTTATTATTTATCAGGCTATCGCATCCCACGGCTATCCATATACACACGCCCTAGCAGTTACCTTTGAAAAATGCAAGCACCGTCGCGCACGCATCCCGCGCGACCATTATCGATTTACGAAGAAAAAAAAAAGGTTGGTCGAGCAAATTCGGAACTGAAATTTCAACACATTTTTCCTTCTTTCCTTTTTCCTCTCTCTTCCTCTTCCCTTCCTGCCGTACGCCTTCTCGTTTCATCCGCAGTGCAGTGCAGTGACAAAGTCGCTGGCACGCAAACGGCCGTTGAAATGCCGTTCCTTGAGAACGAAACGCGTGCGTGCGAGCGACGGCTCGCGTACGCGTTTCGTGCGTACCCGGGTAAGAGAGCCGGTATGTAGGAAGTAATAAGCGGGGTGAATAGTGACGTATCCATAATGCACAACGTCCGCCCTCCCCGTCCGTATTATGCGTTTCCCACCGCGCGCCGCGATCTTCTCGCTCCTTCCCTACCCGCGGTTCGGCATTCCCGTCCCGACCTCTCCAACCATCGACGACCGTATATGCCACCCCTTCTCGCACGTATTGCGTAAGACTGCACTTACGCGCATTCATCGCGGCAGCCGGATTGACTGGGTCAATGCGCTCGGCTGCATGCGAATGTTGACACGTCGCCGCGTAACAATTCACCGGCGGCGTTCAACGACGACGTTTACACCTATACTTTGACTTCGATTGTATATTGATCTTTTTTTTCCCCCCTTGACATTTGCCAATCGCATCTGGAGTGACACGAGATACAAACGTGAGTGTCTTATTCGAGCTTTTCTATTGCGTGTTACAAATGAGAAATACTTTAATATTATAATATACGAAAGTTCCTATTCTTCTCGATATTAATTGTAAATGCAGGCATATGTATCTCTGGAAAAAGTAAACGTGAATCACAGAACAAAAAAAATGGGGCTATAATATATTTATTAGACATTTGTTTACGTACCATGTGATGCATGAAACAATAAAAGATGGTATTATAATAATAAAGGGTAATGCCCAGTAAAATATATAGTTCGGGCGATCGAAGCGAGCTTCCTCCGGGGTGGCAACCCGCTGCTATTTGATCGCCATTAAATTATTCATTCGCATATCTCCTCTTCGTGTCCTCCTGAAATGTCAGGAAGGTTCAAAGCCCGACGGGCGCACGGTTACGAATAATAGAACACATAAATCGCATACCGGTTTTGCAAGCGCACATGCGTATTGAATTTCCGGCCCGTGTCTATTTGTAATCGCGCGCGTACTGATGAAAACTCATAAGGAGTAGTTAGAGAACCGCGGACGTACAGGAGGAGCGAGAAGCTTCGTTCAGGAGGAGAAAAATTTAATCAGCGCGCCGCGTTATCGCGCGATTATACATATAAATCACCGAGCGCGGGACATACATCACCGCGTGACTCTTGTTGCCAAGCTTACGCACGTCCTATATTCCCGAGAGCACGGGGTGCGAATGAACGATGCTTCCAGAGTGAAGAAGACAGAGGCGGAGGAGCGGGGACGAAAGGACGTATTCAACGGAGAGAGAGAGAGAGGAGAGAGAGAGAGAGAGAGAGAGAGAGAGAGAGAG